GAAGCAAACGGACCGTTCACGGAGTTGTAATTTTTAGATACGCATGTGTTTGGATACGCGTTGTATATAGTTGTGTGTGTTTAAATAAAGCTCTTTCTTTGCATAAACAGCTTCCTGGCAAATCTTCATTTCCTGTATAAATTCATTCATGTCCTTGATGGTAGCATAATAATTGTGTAGTAGTGTAGGATAACATAAATACACAGCATATGAATGAATAAATATATGAATGAATAAATATACGAATGAATAAATATATAAATGAATGAATAAATATATATATATATATATATATATGAATAAATATATATATGTAAATATATATATATGCCAACCAATCACGAGCGACTTTACTTGTTTAAAAAGAAGTGGTTCCGTCCAATATTCAGTAAGAAAATTAAAGCCTGGCGTGGCCACGTGTGGTTTTGCTGCCAATCACGAGCGATTTTACTTGTTTGAGAATAGTGGTTTCAGCCAATACTGAGTAGGTTATTCAAGCCAGACCTGGCCAGCCGCGCGGGTTTGCTGTATTCATATGCTAATTAGGGCCATTAGTACAGCTGATCGCTCTCCACATACATCACGGTACGTTTCCGACAATTTGTGGCACGACAAACGCGGACAAGCACGGGTTGCAAATTGTCGGAAACTGACGAAAATCAGGCAGATCTGCGGGAGTTTACGGGGGTTTACGGGGACGAAAATCTCACTTTTCATGCAGTGATAGAGGTGGCCAGATGTGCCTCTGCAGTGCCAATGACTGAGGCGTGGCCCTGTCCTGTCTCCTCAGCCTTGCTTCATACGCCAGAATTTCTATTTATAGGAGCGCGGCTGAAATACAGACCTGAGCCAGTTAGAGCGTGCGTAAGCTGGGAGTATCGTTTTATGTAATTTCATGCCGCACTGATTTTTTCTGCTTCTTATAGAAGAGATACTTTTACATGATCCACAGCAACAGCATATGCCTGGATTCCCAACTGTTTTTAAGTTGCATCTCAGACAATGCAGGGCAATAGCAGGGTTAGGCCATCAGAACACAATGAAAGGAAAAGCAAAGTGAACATATGATTTACATTCTGTTTTCATGCGTGAAAGTTTGTTCATCCATGTTTTAATGAAGCGTCCATTCTCTGTGGTTGTATTAATAAGGATGCTGAATTTAATCATATATTAAAATTAATGATGTCTGGCTCTGGACAGTTGGAATCAGTATCAGTTCAATAATATGTAGATACAGGGTTCCCGCGGGTCCTTACAAAGTCTTAAAAGGCATTGAATTCTTTAAAATAAAACTAAGGCCTTAATTGGTATTAAAATGTCTTAAATCAGTCTTTCGTAGGTCTTAATTTCTAAAATATCATAAATAGGATTATTTTTAATTAGGGCTGGGCGATATAGAAAAAAAGCTTATCGATAAAAAAAAATGCATATTGATCGATATCGATAATTATTGAAAAGATTTGAAACCATATTTTATGTGCAGCTCTGCCTGGACTTTTTATAATATTGCTAAATGATTTAATTTTAATAAAAAACACAAACACAGACTTCGAATTAAATCTTTATTTAACCAACTTTTTTAACCATAACAGAATTGTTTTAAAGAAAAATAACTTAAGAGACCTGAGTTATGTTATTAAATACTGACAAAGAATAAACTAAAGTGACCAGAAAAGTGACCAAAATAAATATAACAAATAAATAAATGCCCCCCCACCGCCGCCCCCGTTTCCTGCTTTAACCTGAGTTATTACTTTGAAGTTTCTGGGCCCTCAGCATTTTTATCTCAATTGTTAGAACTACGTGGGAAACTGCCCAGAACTGAAAATATATACGTATTTTCCGAAGATTCCTCGGAGGAGAGCCGCGTCGGGGCCTACACAGCTCGTACTCCTGCGGCTGTGAGCGGCTGAGATGATAAAAAAAAAAGTTGGTTTCGTTATCAGACTGGTTTTCACTGGTTCCCGACACATTTTCCAGATGACTGTGGTTTGTTTTTGGTCCGACTTGCCATGACCGAAATACTGCCAGACTGCCGAACTACAAAAACCCTTCTTTGAAACAATTTCCTCCGCCTCTCCTTGCTGCATCTTCATGTGCTCTGTGTTGTGGTTTGAGAGGGCGGCGCTTGGTGACGGCATGCCTGGGTCCGCGATTGTGATTGGTTGGGAGGAAGCAGTGACTAGCATAAACCTACATGCTAGGCTACAATGAGAAGGAAGGAAAACTGCGTTTCTTTTTTATCGAACTTTTATCGACCCTCTTTTTTTCTATTGCGCCACACGTCTATCGATCGATATATATCGTTATTGAATTATCACCCAGCCCTATTTTTAATTACGATTTATTTTTGTAATCTAAATAAAATGTTAAAATTGACAATTTTTTTTTTTATTATTTGGTTCCGTCCCGATAGAGGAACCAATAAAAGCGTTGTTGCGGCCGGGACATTTGGGAAATGCGCCATTAACTTTTTGTCTGGAAAATCTGAGCAAGTGTAAATGTAACCAAAATTGTCTCCAGCCAAGAGTTTTCTCCATGGCTAAAACCAGGGAACATACATGAGGCTCAGTGGATTTTATGCAAGAAGTCATTCAAGCTCAGAACGATGGGAATTAAGGCAGTGGAGTCGCACATGCGAAGCGCGAAACACAAAGCGTCAAAATGGAGTTACCGAGAAACAGCCGGTATTTCTCAGTTTAGTTCCACCCTTGTCTCTGCAACGCCTCCACTTATCACCAAATCAAACATACTAAGAAAACCATACAAAGAAAAATAGCTGCAAAAAAGACTTAGCACTGGTTATGTTGGGGCTTTAAAACTGATTTGTTTTGTTCCCTGCTAAAACAACGTTTGTGAATTCAGTTAAATAATTGTTAAAATATATCTGTCATTTGTGTGTTTTTAGCTTTCTTCCTGTGTGGGAAGCTTTTCAAAATTTGAAACATTAGTGCAGTGGTTTATGTTAAAATAAACCTTTGGGTTAAGTTGTCGCAAGCAGGTTTTTCTTGTGTTTCTTGTAAATTTGGTCTTAAATTTTTATTTCAAGTGGCATTAAAAAGTCTTAAAAAGTCTTGAATTTAACTTGCCTTATGCTGTAGGAACCCTGTAGATAAATCATACTTAACACACTTATTAGTTTACCAGATGCAAGAGGAAGGGAAAGAAATATGTACAGTCATTGGGATAAAAATATTAGAACCCCCTTTTTTTTTTGTCATGTTCATCACAGATATGATTGCTCCTCATTAACAGAGCACTTCTCTCTAAATCTGAAGGTTCACTAGTGGTCCTTAGTTTCTATTAGTAGAATGGGAGGCAGATCTTTTAGTTATCAGGCTCCTCTCCTTTGGAACCAACTACCAGTTTTAAAACTTTCCTTTTTGATAAAGCTTATAGTTAGAGTGGCTCAGATTATCCTGAGCAATCTCTATAGATATGCTGCTATAGGCTTAGACTGCTGGAGGACATGATATATCAGCTATTTCTTCTTTTTTCATGTATGTATCAAGGTAAAGAGGAAACACCACACTTTTCAGATTTCCTTTCTTAAAATATTTTTTTTCTGAGAAAATGTTATATTAAATTCCCTCCACCTTGCAATTGGTTTATTACATAAAATCATGATGAAAGTTGGAGGTTGTCAAGCAAGAAAATGTAACAAAGTTCAGGGGTTGCACATACTTTTGCAAGGTACTGTAGACAAAATAAATAGAGACTTGGAGATAAAAGCAGACATGTCCTCACGTCTAAAAATAGCCCAGAGAGGCTGGCAGTCAGGAACAAAGCACTTCACACCAGCGATTCTGACGAGCAACAGACCACAGGGACGACAAGATTCGGTGTGTTTCTGTGTCTGCGTCCAGCAATGTGTTTCATCCACATATTGTCATAAAATGTTCAAGAAGACCTTTAGAGAATCCTCCAAAGCATCTGCGCATCATAGCTTTAATCATTTCCAGCAGTTTACAGTTTCTCTTACTCTTTTCCCTTCTGATATCTAATCTAAGCCCCTTTTTTTCCTTTGCAGCCCTCCTTTCAACCCTTGACTTCTTTGGTATAACAGCAGAAATGGGAATTTTTGTCACAGCAGAACTTTCTCTCTACATCAGTTTCACTTTCCGCCATCTTTTCCCTCCCATTTCACCCTCGAATCTTTTTATAGCTTTCAATGTTCCTCTTGATTTCTTACAGAAGTCAAGAGGAACTTTCTTTCCCCTTGTGTTAATGAAGGCAGAGTTGTAATCTCACAATGTGTTCATATGGAAAAACTGGAGAATAAAGAATAAGAGAAATAAAATAAGATATCAGAAAAGACAGATGCATCTAAACTAAATTTCATTTCACAAACAATTACAGGTGCTTGGCTCCAGGCACTCAGAGATTTACTTCCATACAGAAATCCCACATTCATATCTTCAGGTAACACAGAGTACATGTCAGACTTAATAATATTACTTTAGCGATAGTTTAAAGGTGTTGCTTTATTGTATGTCTTTTTTCATCTCCTTTCTATCTCTTCTTTCTTTCATCTTTTCTCTTTTTTTCTTTTTTCCTTTTCTTCTTCTGTTTTTCTGCTCTATTTACATTGCAGTGTCCATATAAACTGTAAAACTCCCTGCATAATTATAATAAAGCAATTTATATGCATGAAACAAGTGGAGCAGTATGGCAATTGCCGTACCGCTACACTTGTGAAAGTAAAATCTGTTGGGCTCTTTTTGGCATCAGGACAATTATTCTTATTGCCACATTGCCAGACAGGACACTGTAAAAAAATAAAAATAAAATAAACTGAATTTGATTCATTTCAAACTATTTATCCCCTCCTAATCGTGAACCAGCCACTCCCTAAAGCACAGTGCAGCTTAGTCTAAGCTGAGGAAGAAATGCTGCAGTTCAACTCTGATAAAGCTGATTGCTCCAAGTTAATACCCTTCATCTCCCAGTTTGGATTTTTATAATTCTCCTTTTTGCATCACTTCACGCTCAAATCTCACCTCCAGAACCCGTCCGCTGATGTATCTGTTGCAGGTCTCACATTTCACCCCGTACTGTGCATGATAATCTGCCTCACAGTACGGTACTCCATCCCTACAACACCGGAAAGACAGAAGACACTGTTTTACTCTGCCAAACAGACAATACTCTAGCCTGAGAGGGATAACTGGATATGTTCATAAGAGGTGGAAACAAAGACATCTGAGAGTACACTGTCTCCACATTTTCACACACTTACTTGCTGATGTACTCCCCGGTGAGAACCATGTTGCACGTCTGACATCTGAAGCAGCTGACGTGCCACTGTTTCTCCAACGCCAGGAGAGACTGACCCTGTTTAATCTCTGCTCCGCATCCAGCACAGTCTGAATCAGAAGGAGATAAATTTAAAAAAATAACAGTTCAGCTGCATGTTAATCTAATAAGCGTCTAATTTGATTGCAAAGATAATGTTGTTTTTTTCATCCATCATATTCCTGCATAACACTTTTTATCATAAAAATAAGCTGCGGATCCCGCATAAATCACCCTGCTTATACTCCTGTTGTTCATCCAGTACACTAAAGAATCAGCCCCAGCAGGTTTGACCATTATAGGCTGGATAAAGACAATAGATGAGATACTGTAGCCCTGGCTCACAAAGGAAGCAAAGCGGCACGGCTGAAAACTGAAACAGGGTCAATGATTCTTATTTGGAAGAAAATTTGCTGAAATTTTTTTTGACCCAGTCCAGGGCCTCATATAGTACGGAAAAGGATTAGGGCTAGTGGAAAAAAAAAAAAAGTTAACTGATTTTTACATTTTATTTCAGTTTAGTATGGGAAAAAAGTCAGAATTCTGAGAAAAAAGTCAGAATTCTGACTATAATCTCAGAATTCTGACTTTTTTTATTGTCAGAATTCAGTCAGAATTCTGAGAAAAAAGTCAGAATTGTGAGATTATAGTCAGAGTTCTGAGATTATAGTCAGAGTTCTGAGATTATAGTCATAATTCTGAGATTATAGTCAGAATTCTGACTTTTTTCTCAGAATTCTGAATTTTTTCTCAGAATTCTGAGTTTTTTTATTGTCAGAATTCAGTCAGAATTCTGAGATTAAAGTCAGAATTCTGAGAAAAATGTCAGAATTCTGACTATAATCTCAGAATTCTGACTTTTTTTATTGTCAGAATTCAGTCAGAATTCTGAGATTAAAGTCAGAATTCTGAGAAAAAAGTCAGAATTGTGAGATTATAGTCAGAATTCTGAGATTATAGTCATAATTCTGAGATTATAGTCAGAATTCTGACTTTTTTCTCAGAATTCTGAATTTTTTCTCAGAATTCTGAGTTTTTTTATTGTCAGAATTCAGTCAGAATTCTGAGATTAAAGTCAGAATTCTGAGAAAAATGTCAGAATTCTGAGATTATAGTAAGAATTCTGACTTTAATCTCAGAATTCTGACTTTTTTCTCAGAATTCTGACTTTAATTTTAGAATTCTGACTTCTTTTATCGTCAGAATTCAGTTTATTCTGAGATTAAAGTCAGAATTCTGAGAAAAAAATCTGAATTCTGAGATTAAAGTCAGAATTCCAATAAAGATACATAGAAATAGTTTTATAAAGGGCAACAATAACTACAGATTTCTAATCATAGTTTTATATTTACAAGCACTTATTTGTGCTCTGTAAGTTTTTTTTTTTTTGCCTGAGCAACAAAAGAGTAATGCAGAAAAACAGCATTTACTACGTGACCTTCACACTAAAGGTTTGAAAGCGAGAACTGAGCTTATTCTAACCAACAGCTGTAGAAGCACATAAATAAAAAAACAGCTCATCCGTCAGTTACGGCGTCGTTCTATTATCACACGGGGACGGATATCCATATGCTGCATAGGGGCGCCGTGGCATTTATTGCTGATTTACTGCTGCGTCTGCTAGATGAACTGAGAGGTAAACCTTCATAAAAAATCTGATATTATAGAAGGTAGTCAAGTCAGAATATACAGAGAGATTTAGGTGGAGAACATAAAACAGAGGTCAACAACAGGCCAGGGACCATGAGCTGCTCAGAGATAAACTATGAGGGTGTCAACTAAAATACAATCATATAAACTTTAATTAGAATCTGTAAATATGACATAAACTATTATTTCTGCAACTGAAAAACTGGTCCAGCACCGAAGGCCTTTCAATTAACGAGTATAAACAATTGAAGTGAGCCGGAAGGTGAACCTGGCTCAGTAATTCTGTGCTCTGCCGTCTCTCTTTTATTTTAACCATCTGGTTTTTTGTTTGCAAAGGTTTGCATGGCTCAGCGCTTCAGCGTTTAGCTGCATCCCTCTCCTGGACTAACATTAGCACTTTTACATTCCTCAGTTTTTTCCCAAATAGAAAACCCTCCTGGCTCAGTGATTCAGACTCCACCTTCACTGGAAAAAACATTCTAGAAATAAGTAATAAATATCTTAAATTATGTGTGTTTACCCTTAATTTGAGTAGGTAAATGAGATAGTTTGCCAATGGAATGAGTATTTTTACTCTTAAAATAAGATAATTAGATAATATGCACTTTAAATAAGACAATGCAATTGTGTTTTCTTATTTTAAGTGAAAATGTTCTTGTTCCATTGGCAAAATGTCTCCTTTGCCTCCTTAATCCAAGAACAAATGTACTTATTTGAAGAAAAAATGACTTATCTAGATTTCGATTTTTTCCAGTGTTTTTTTTCTCCCTTATGAAGAAATATTGTGAGCATAGCACATTTGCTTTTTTTTCTGTCTGATAGAAAGTATTTTTTGCTCAATGTTTAGGGTTTTAACACTTTCTTTCACCACAGGCAAGTTAATAGCTTAAAGTAAGTGATTCAATGATTAATTGATCAAGTTAAAACTGAACTGGACTGTTTATTGATGGAATTTAATGTAAAATGCATTTAGATCACATGTCTCTGACTGGTGCTTTCTATGGAGTGACTTTTGTGCCATTATTGGTGCAGGAACAATATATTTTGTAAATGGAGTCAAATGAAAAAAAAAAAAAAAAAGTTGTACATTTCAATTAAAAAATTAAATCCAAAAATAAAAGATATTTCAATAAAATATGTCTTCATATTTTGCAGTTTTATTTTTCAAAATATTTTGATAGTTTTTTTTTTTTTTTTTTTTTTACAGTTTTTATATATTTAAATTGTTTTCTTTTCAAGTTTTATCAGATTAAGTTTTAAAAATTGCATTTGTGCCACAGATCACATGAAATTCAAAAAGATTGGAAGAAAAATTCAAATAGAGAATATGTGAATAATTTTTTTTTTTGTAAAACATGTCAATAGTAATATTTGAAAAAATACAATTGAAAAAAAAAACAACAACAGAACAACTACGATGGTTTTAAAAGTTTACTAATTGGAGTTTACCTACAAATTCCAATTTACAAAATGTTTTGTTTTATCCAAATTGTCATTTACAAAATGTGTTTGTTCTTCTCAACAATAATGCTACAAAATAAACTCCATACTTTTCTGAAAATAATTTATAATCTGTTGTTAAATACAGCTCTCCTACATCAACTGAATTAACCAAACGTCTAAAGAAACCAAGAACTAAATTTTGACCTTATTCTGTGTCGTAAAAGATCAACTATCTAAAGAAGAGGAATATATATATATATATATATATATATATATATATATATATATATATATATATATATATATGTATATATCCATCCATCCATGCATCTTCAGTAGGGAGGCCCAGACGTCCCTCTCCCCAGCCACTTTGGCCAGCTCCTCCGGGGGAATCCCAAGGCGCTCCCAGGCCATTCGAGAAACATAGTCCCTCCAGCGTGTGCTGGGTCTCCCCCTGGGCCTCCTCCCGGTGGGACGTGCCTGGAACACCTCACCAGGGAGACGTCCAGGAGGCATCCTAACCAGTTGCCCGAGCCACCTCAACTGGCTCCTCTCGACGTGGAGGAGCAGCGGCTCTATTCTGAGTCCCTCCCGGATGACCGAGCTTCTCACCCTATCTCTAAGGAGGAGCCCAGCCACCCTACAGAGAAAACTAATTTCAGACGCTTGTATCCAGGATCTTGTTCTTTCGGTCATGACCCAAAGCTCCATAGATGAGGGTAGGAACGTAGATCGACCGGTAAATCCAGAGCTTTGCTTTTTGGCTCGGCTCTGTCTTCACCACAACAGACCGGTACAGCGAACGCTTCACAGCAGACGCCGCACCAATCCGCGATCTCTCGCTCCATCTTCTCCTCATTCGTGAACAAGACCCCAACATACTTAAACTCCTCCACTAGGGGCAGTACATCCTCCCCAACCCGATGAATGCGCTCTACCCTTTTCCAGCTCAAGACCATGGTCTCGGATTTGGTGGCACTGATTCTCATCTCGGCCTCTTCACACTTGGCTGTGAACCGCTCCAGTGAGAGCTGTAGATCGCGCCCTGATGAAGCCAATAAAACCACATCATCTGCGAATACCAGAGATTCAATCCTAAGGCCACCAAGGTAGATCCCCTCAACACCTTGGCTGGCCAAGAACTTCTGTCCATAAAAGTTACGAACAGAATCTGTTACAAAGGGCAACCTTGGCAGAGTCCAACTCTCACCGGAAAACGAGTCCGACTTACTGCCGGCAATACGGACCAGACTCTGACACCTAGCACACAAAGACCTAACAGCCCTTATTAAAGGGCCTGGTTCTCCATACTCCCGGACTACCCCCCAAAGGACCCCCCTAGGGACACGGTCGAATGCTTCTCCAGATCCAGACTGGTTGGGCAAACTCCCATGCACCCTCCAGAATCCTGCTGAGGGTCTAGAACTGATCCAGTGTTCTGCGGCCAGGACGGAATATTTATATTAGCATATAAAAAAAGCTAATTTCAAGAAAGGCGTTTTTAAATGAGTTAAATTTCATAGTCTACTCCATCATATTCCAGTCTTTTAGAAAAAGAGGTTCATATTTATTGTTCTCACTTCCCCCTCGCAGTGTTTGTTCTTAACGTGGTGATAAACGCCGTACCTGGGGAGCTGTTTGGCTTCCATTTGACTAAATAGAGCAATCTGGGACACACAGTTATTCATTGCAATTTCACCATCTGTTTAAACTGCACAAACTGTGAGAGGCAGCAGGCTGTCTGTCTGCCACATTTAAACAATTCATTCTCAGTGACTGTGCATCATCTTAAAACCTCCCCTCACTGCTTTCTACTTGGGAGCTTTTTTCAATGGTAAGAGAAGGTAAAAAATGAGCCCCTGAATGTAAATCACATGACAGATGTAAACTCCTCTACCTGCTGAGTGTTGACAATACTTAATAAATGTTGAATTTACCACTGTTGAGTGATTATAAGATGCCAGATCAATAAGAAAGGGCCTGATAAATGACTTGGCAGCCACTCGATTTAGCTAAATTAAGCAAGAAGGACCTCTCAAGCCCAGCGTGTTTGGATGAAGCAGACTGCAGCGTCTGGTGGGATTAAACAGAACAGACAGAGCAAGGCAGACAACTCACGGCTGGGTCCGTGGATCTTGATGGGCTCATTTGACTTGACAAGTGTGTGGGAGCACTGCTGGCAGACGCAATCCTTTCCGCTGAACGTCACCTTGTCTCCGATCGGGAACGGTTTGCTGATGGAAAAACATTAAATAAAATGAAGATTAGTGGCTTTATATTACCAGATAAAATGCTTAGAGGAATCATACATTTACATCAAGGGGGACGACACGTGGAAACAAATGACAGGAGGAGAGCGTCTGCTGACTGGAAGGCCGTAATGCCGCTGACACCGGCTGAAAGCCGTCTGATGTCTTTTGCGGGGCTGAAAACGCTTTTGCAAACAGTCGTCACGACGGGTTAATCGGAGGTTGGTTGTGACGGCAGCACCTGGCTTCTCTGTGATTAAAGAGGCGATAATGTGACGCTACCACGGGTCTCTGAAAAGGAAAACCGGCTCTCTAGCTGAGAATAAAACTTATTAGCGAGGACAGCGTGGAGCGCATGCTAATCCTAAACGCCTGTTTCTCGCAGTCTCCAGTAGCTGTCTGCTTTACTCAATCCCTGCACATATGTTACCACTAGGTCTCTGTTTGCTCCATGGCTCTAAGCTACTCTCCAATAAATCAGTGTAAAGACATGCATGTGTGTATGCGCTAACAACATGACAGCAAGACAACGTCCATAAAATCCCCTTTTCTATTGCATGTTTTAACTCCCTTTCTTCTCCTGCGTAAAAAAGACACATTTCTTTGATTTCTTTATGACTAGATAGGATAAAAGAATGAATAGGGAGCTAAAAGGCTTAGAGAAGGCCGTTTAAAAGGCAGACGACAGTAATCCTTTTACTTCCCTGCTGAGGCCTGAAGCCAAAGCCCCAAAGGAAGGCTTGAGTCTCCAGCAAGATGTTCGCAGAGAGGCCGGTAAAAGCTCTATGTCCAGATTATGCAATAGATGAGATCTCTGCAACTTTCTTCTCCATCATACTTCGTCTGATCCTTGTTGGGTTTCTTTCTGTTGTTTGACTCTAAAAAGGGCGACATTCATGCATAAAACAGAAAGGAGCGAACAAGCGAGTGGAGCAGATAAGCCAGCAGGGACACTCCAGGAAAGAAATGAATCAATAAAGACCTTGGTGCACACTTGTCAGGTTCAATTTGCATGTTTTATTTAAGCCAAAACAAGGCTTTGCTTTGGTCCCTCTCTATAAAACCTGGAACTCAACGCTATTTCTGACATTTTGAATTGAAAAAACTTCCCGGATGGGAAGCAAAATGTCTTAAAACTTGGAAACAAAGTCCAGTGGATTGTTTTTTTAAACTTTTTTGGGAATGACTATGACCTGGAATCTTGACTGAGAATCTTGACTATGACTGAGAATCTTCATCAGCATACACACAAAAAACATTCTACATAAACTTCTGTTTATATTTCAAGATTAACCAACAGTTTAAACAACCTCAAAATATTTTTCCCATTCTTTAAATAACAGTTCAAAATAATTCAAAGTGGACTAAGATCATCTATCAGTCTTAAATCCGTTGAAGCTGTTAACAGGTTTTCCTGAATCATTGACTTGTTTTTAGCTCCTTTGATATCAAAGCTAACGAGCATCTCTGTGGTTGCTTGAGGAAAGCATTCCCACTAATCCTAAAGCTGCAACCGATGTCATTCACTGTGGTGATTGTTTGTTTCAGGTAATAAAGGATGCTTTCCTGAGTCTACTGCATGTTGGCCAGAAAGTTCACAATTGCTTTTTGGTTTCAAATTTTTATCCAAGTTCTAAAACTATTTTCAATGTTTCCCCCTAAAATAAACCAACAAGCTAAAGAAAAATCTGCTGTTGAAGATTCTCAGTCATCAAGGTCATAATCGTTCCCAAAGAAATAAAAAAACAATCCACTGGACTTTGTTTGCAAGTTTGAAGACATTTCGCTTGAAGACATTTCGCTTCCAATCCAGGAAGCTTTTTCAATTCAAAATGTCAGAAATAGCGTTGAGTTCCAGGCTTTAAACAGGAGCCCAACAAGGCCATGCAAATTGAACTGGACGAATGGGTCCACCGTTTTGGAATGGGGTCATTTGGCTTCTTTTGTTAATCTGCAATGCCCCATACCTGTATATGTCTCTGAAATGGGGTCGTTGAAGTGAATTGTTGGCCTGGCTGAATAGGCAAGGTCTTTAGGGCCAACCAATCTTAAAGTCGTAGGGAAACGGCTGTTCTAAAAATTGCAGTTCCAAATTCTCCCGAGTGGTGCCCAACTTTACACGAGTGAATAAAGTGAATGTGATTGGTCGATTATCAAGGGGGCGGGATTGTTGTGGCGGAAGGGTCGCGAGCAAGTTTGATTTTGCTTGTTTTTCGGAAGCATCTTGCTAACCAGTAGGCAACTTAGCGCTAGCAGGTTCCAATTGGGAAATTCCATTGGGACCAAGTAGCACTAAATTGGTGGCTTAGAAACGACACTGTCAAGGAACGCTATGGACAGCGGAAACATGCAAGAGGAGGAGAGTTTAGTGTCGGAGGTCGTGGATGAGTCTCCTCCGTCATACATTTTTTATTTAGAGGAGGGAAGCGAGGACGAAGATGTTGTGGAAGAGGACACCAGGGCGGCAGAAGCTTGGTTTGGTGTAGAAGGCTTACAGCCGTACAGGTTTGAGCCCTTGCCTCGCAACGCTGCCAGTTCTGTTAGCTCTACGCCTGCCGAAGACACAAACGTCCATCCCCGTGAACACTGGGACGCAACTCAGTGGGAAAGGACATGATTCTTATTTCGTATTTCAACCGTTGCGTATATTAGCTTAGACATATAAATCAAGATGCTATGACAAAAAAAAAATTATCAAGAGGGCGGGATTGTTTTGGTGGAACGTTCGCAAGCATGTTAGATTGTGGCCGGTTTCTCAGAAGAATCTTGCTAACCAGTTAGCTACTTAGTGCAAGTAGGTTCCCATTCCATTGAGACCAAGTAGCACTAAATTAGTGACTTAGCAAAAACACTGTGAAGGAACGCTATGGACAGCGGAAACATGCAAGAGGACATCCAAGAATTTGCTCTTCAACTCTACACCTGTAACAGTCACCACTACTCTTGGGAGATTCTTATTTCAACCTTTGCGTATATTAACTACGACATATGAAACCAGATGATATGACCGAAAAGATTTGATTGACAGATGATTGTTGATATATGATTGGCCGAATTTAGGTGTTCAGGCTGACGTATAACTTTTCTTACAGAGACCTTTTGGGAAAATATCATTGGATAAAGAGTACATTTATATATATGTTTCAGCCAGAACGATTAAACATTTAAAGATGACTTCCCTACAACTTTAAACAGAGGGGGTGGACAGCTTTCAAAACCCTACAGTGCACAATTGAGTCGATCCCTTCCCGCTATCATCGCAACCCCAACCCTTTTACAGGGGAACAGTAGACCTCGCCTATTAAGCCAGGCCAACAATTTCCTTTAACGACGCCCTTTCAGATACATAGACAGGTACGGGGCATTTCAGGGTAAAAAAATAAGCCAAATGACCCCCATTCCAAAGGGGTGGACCGGTTCGTTCATCCATTAAAATTTTCATGTTTTCCAAACAACAACAAGGCGTTGTTTGGCTGCTATATAAAACCTGGAACTCAGCGATATTTCATTGAATTGAAAAAGCTTCCTGGACGGGAAGCGAAACGTCTTCAAACTTAGAAACAAAGTCTAGTTGACTGTTTTTATCTGATTTGGATCCCTAAAAGGTTAATCTTGGGTTTGCATTCTGAACAGATATTACACTTTTACCACGAAGCGCTATCTAGTCTGACATTAAGAGTTAAATCTGCTGTGATGGTGCAGAAAATTCCTGCCTTTGACCTTGTCTTCACCTGCGTTACTCTCACTCCCTGAAGACACTCCTGCCTTGTCAGCCTTTCTCAGCCCTTTAAAAATGTTCTCTTATTACATATTTAATGCTACTACTTTAAAAAAAAATCTTTTTACCACAAAAAGGGAAGTTATTTCTATCATTTTATGAAAAGCCTGGTAGCTTTTTTAAAAGACATTACCGCTAAAAGGGATCTGCTTCTTTTCAGGCTGATATTTTAATGACGAAGCGGAAACAGCAGGTGAGTGTTTAGAAGATGACGAGAGGAATAACGGGAATTATGAAAGACAGGGAGAAGAAAGGCAGTGAAGGGAGCACGAGTAGAGATGGTGAGCAAAGAGACAGCAGAGAATTTAACCCAGAGGCTTCTAGTTGTCTCTTCCAGTTCACTGTTCTCATCACCCTGTCACCACCCGGACTGCTCCGCTGACTGTCGCTGCTCGCAACATGGAGTTTTTTCTTTTTTTCCCCTCCCTTTTGACCACAGCTAGCGGGCTGAGCGCCATCGTCAAACAGATCTGTGACAAGAGGAAAATACTACTCGCCTGGAGGGGGGGGGGGAAACTGGAGATCACCCAATGGGAAACTTATTACACTTCAAAACAGACATGGGTGCTTTAAGGTACATTGGGAGGACGACAGATAACTGGCTTTGCAGAAAGACATAAAAAAATCGATTGTGGTAACACTTAATTTTTTATTTTTTATTGAGATAGAGAACCTAGATACCTTTTGTGGCTGTTGTTTGTTGTTATTACACATTCTTACAAAAAAGGAACATTGGAATAGTTCAGAACATGGAGGAAACAACAAATAAACATTTCTTTATAAAGGTCAGAACAGTCTGATCTTGAGTCATCGATAGTTGATTAAAATGATCGAACACTTTTTCTTCCAGCATTTTTTTTTTGCATGCGCCTCCAGATATAAACCAGGGTCACCCTCGATTTTATTTTGTTAAAAAGATCTAAATGACTTTTTTCCCACCCAAAAATAGTAAGTGTACTGAAATATAATGTGTTAAAGTTTAATAATGTATAAATACCTTAAAATCCTTTCTGTTTTCAGTCGATCTGCATCTGATATGGGATCTTATGCTACTTCCAGGAGCTAACGTTTTCAGATTTGGATTTTAACATAAATGTAGTCTTTTTGAGTTTTATGTTTTCCTTTCGTTAATTTATATTATATAGAGTTGGGGTCACCAACGCGGTGCCCGTGGGCATCAAGGTGCCCTCAAGGACCACATTGGGGG